GACAGTCTCTGTTGGTCCTCATCAGTCCATTACAACATACAGTTATACATTAATAGGTCTGTACAGTGGTATGAACTATACCATCACAGTGAGAGCTGTTAATGTACTAGGAGGATCTGAATTAATCATGAACACAGTACAAACCAAAGCAATAGGTAATGATACTTATTCTTTTAGTAATTAGTTAATTGTAATTTTCAGTTTCTAGTGGTTGGCCATCATCAATTCAAGTATTACCAGTTAATTCTACAGCTAATAGATTCACTTGGAATGAGGTTGATTGTTCTGAGCGTAATGGTCTAATCACAGGCTATACAGTGATTATCAGTAACAGTAGTATCACATACAACCTCACCAGTACTGAGAGATATGTCATGTTGAATGATCTAGTATTTGGTACTGAGTATAACATCAGTGTAGCTGCTGTCAATTCTGTTGGAAGAGGTCCCTTCAGTGATCCTATCATAGTAGAGATTGGAATAGGTATGTAATTATTATACTATATCAGTTCTAGTTAGAATGTCTCTTTATTTAGTACCTGGTCCAGTTGGTTCAGTATCCAGTATCATGGACACTACATGGGCTGTTATCTCATGGAGTGTACCTAGTTATATTCCATCAGACTATCCCATTATCACATATGAGATAGGATATCATATCTTAGAGTCTGGCAACTGTTTGATGGTAGATGATGATGACTTTAATACCGAATTATTGCAACTACGTAATTCAACCAATACTTATATCAACATTACTGGACTTAATGATATGTCTTACTTTATTTTTGGTGTGCGTGCATACACTGATAATGGATATGGAGAATGGACAGTTATCTCTAATGAGACATTAAAACTACCACTGCAGTCATCATCATGTAACTGTGATGCATCAGACAGTGTTATTGCTCTTAGTGTGTTAGTGGGTATATTGTGTGGTCTACTAACTGTCATTATTGTTATTAATATCTACTGCTTTATGAGGTATAGTCTACATACTTAGTATAACAAATTATAATTGTTTTCTTATAGACAGAAAAGTCCATGTACTATTAATAAGCAAACAAAGTTAGTCTATTTTAAAGTTACTTATTAATAATTATGCTGATAGAGCTGATGATGATATTTCAATGCAAGTATGTGAACCGTATGGAATCCACAAGGCAAAACAAAGTGAAGAGAATGAAGGAGTTTATGATGAATGTCAAACATCACCTGAAGATGTTTATGAACGTATGCCACAATAAAAGGAATTAGAGCAACTTAACATAGAGTAACCGTTGAAATGATTTTACTAGTTTAGTGTATCAATTTGGTATTATAGTTATACATTACATAGTTTGTGTGAAAAAGAGAATACAACTTTATGAGTACATTTAATAGTCACAGTGTAGTCTTGTGGATGTGGCATGAGATCTGATTTTAGCAAATTACATGTACTGATCAATCCTCCTATCTTCATTTTTTCTCCATCTAAAAGAGAGGAGAGAGAGTATATTAATAGAGAGACTTATACTTACCAAGATTCCATTCCAGTCCAGTGGTCCAACATTGATCACATGATTCTCCTAATGGTATTATGCCACAATGGCCTTCAACCAATTCTCTCTTCAAATGAATAACATTCTTACCCTATGAAAACAGCAATTGTTGACAGTATGACATCAAAAGTACATGCATTTAAGTGTCTAAAGTCCATTTGTGTTCACCTGAGCCCTTGTTTTCTTGCAATAACTTTTGACTTACAAGCTCTATTGTAAAAATAAACATACCAGTACATTCCTCTCCTTTTGCCACATCTATTGTACTACTTAAGAAGCAGCTATAGCTCTTTAGCTCCAAGTTGGTTGTATAACCCATGCAGAAAGTACAGCCATACTTTTCACAACTATAATTATTGCATTGTGTTAATTATTGGGTGGGGTTTCTAATCACTTCCTGGGCTCAGGTGAATGCAAATGGCCTTAGTTGGCCACAAAGTTTTGACACATGTAGTTTTGTTGTTGTTGTGTGTGGTTATGCTTATTGACTCCACGCAAGCTCTGCTGGGTTTGTTATGATATCCCATCCTTACAGGATTCAATAGCATTAAAATTGAGTCTTCAGTTACAAGATATACTCTTTGATTAGCAGATGCTTTGTAAAGCTCGTGTACATTGCCAAGCATTTGATCAAATCTTCCCCACATTCTGTTTAAAACATACACTGTAGCATACTAGAAAACATATAGAAATTAATGACGACATTATTGGATAGTTTTATTGTACCTCTGGCTTTTCTGTTGACAGGTAAGTTAATGCTTTGCTAAAGTCGGTGCTGTCTTGATCATGTTTCCTTATGATCTCTGATTTCTAAAATTATAATTATTACTTGATGATTCACTATTAATATACTCAATACTTTTGATTCATAATAGTCTCGTACATCAGGTCGTATTGAATCCATATCTCCAATTATAACGTCTGGAATAAAACTATACAATATTGAAATTAACAGGAAAAAATTTTCCACTGAACAAAGGCAAAATATAATTATTTGCTATCATTGAAAGTGAAATTAGAATCTAAGGAGGCAAGGTTTGAGTCCCACCTTCTTTAAGCTGCATGTAATAAAACTAACTTTACTTTACTCTAAGTTCCTCAATTAGTGTATCATGCAGTGAGTTGGAGCCACCATCAGCACACACTCTAAAAGCAACTACAAGCAAAAGATATTAATTTACATAATTTTATTCCTACATTTCTTCCAGTTTTTAAGTAAGAAATTCTCCAGTGGTCCTAAAGAAGACCCATTGTTCAATAAGAGCAGAGCCTGCTTCTCTTCTGTGCCTATTCAAGCAATAAATGGACCTGCAGTATCTCTACCTACAGCAAGGAACAGAAAACAAGAGACTGACCTTCACCAATATGCAAAGGTGAATACTCCATATTTTTTACACCGGAAGTAAAGCTGGCATTTTATGACGTAACTTCCGGTTGATTTTACACATCCGGTTTCATTTCACTTCCGGTTTGATTCTTCGTATACTAAAATAACTTTTCCGTTTACCATCGTAATCTTGTTGAACAAAAATGGTGAGATCTTTTTATTTCCATGATAATAATACAAATATAATTCTTTATTCCTTCTCTCAATCAGGCTTCTACTAACCTAGATACCATTCCAGGTCAGCGTGGATCCCTCGTAATAGCAGAGGATGGGGCCATTATTCAGGTAAGCAAACAACAGAGATTGGGTGGAGGATTGGAAATATATACATGTAGTTTGATAAACAAGCTACTTTGATAAGTAACATTCTCAATAATTATCATTTTGTATTCTTATGCTCATACAGTCTAATGGTGAGCTACAGAATGACGAGAAGACAGCTGCCATTATGTTACAGATGATGAAGAACAGTGTCAAATTGATAAAATCAGTTAACGGAGAGAGGAAGAGTAATGTTCAACGATTATCAGGTAAAGAAATGCAATGAAATACTCACAATTAATAATATGTATCTTTCATTTCTCTAGTTGCTTATAAGAATTATTCATTGGTTGCTTCAATTTGGAATCACAAAGTTTACGTCGTCAAGAGAATCAACCCGGAAACATGAATGGATCTTATGGGCGTGGACTTTATGTATGGGTGTGGTTTTGTGTTTTATATACGAAGTAACTCTTTAAACCGTTGTATTGTTCCTGTGACATACAATTTGCTGTTTATTAATAGTTAATTTTGTGTTTTGATCTATGGAAGGATATTGATATGTATCAGAAAATATAATA